ACACAGCTAGTCTACACAGGGCAGGGAACAGAACCCACATGACTGCACAGGGACGCTTTGGGGGCTACCTGGCCTGGGTCACCCCTCTGACATTTGTTTCTCTTGTCCATCATACTGAATGGTACAGAGCAGCTTTGCCGTGTCTTTCACAGAAACTATTTATTCCCCAGTTGATGATTTTTGCTTGATTTCCCTCTCCCGTGCGTGTTGTCAGAATGCCTACAAAACCCTGACAGCTGGTATTCCATTTAGGGACAAGACTTGGGGGACGCATCTTGAAAGGGCTCACACACAGATCTTGCTGCACGTCTACTTGACTTCCAAATATAATGTGATTTCACTGGCGACGAAATGGAAAAGGAGTGAGGATGATGAAGAGTCGTTCTGTAAAGAGTCTTTGAAACGCCTAAGCTCGGGGAAATGACCCAGGGCCACTAAAGGGGAGCCAGGGCGGTGTTTGGTCCGGTGGACCTAGATTTGAAGGCTTACTCACAGTTTGACTTCGGACAAATGACTCCATCTTGCTGAGCCTCAGTTTCCTCATCTGTCCCACAGGAACCACAGAACTGATCCCTCAGGCCGTGCCGACAGGTCGGTCTAACGTGTTAACAAATGACCAGCACGTGGCAAGCACGCCAGACAGCTTTCCCTCATCCCTTTCCTCCTGGACTTAGTATATAACATAATTTATCATAAGAACACTTAATAAGGATCTGGTGACAGGCAAATAGATGATTCAATCACAAGACCACTTAGTTTCACAGATGTCAGCGACTGGAACCAAATAATAAAATGTGAAATTCGTCTCTCAGTGTCACTGAGCTTATGTTCTCCAAAATCAAAACAGCTGGTGATTATTACAAGTGGTCCAACTGAAGCAAACCAGCTTAAACCTCTCTTATTTACCATGGATGGTGATTGGGCATTGTGGGTAGTCACGTAATCTTGTATCTGACCCATTTGATAAGACATTAGTACATCAGGCATAATCTTAGTAAAGGACTTAAAAAAAATGTCTGAGGGATTGGAAGGGTCTGGAAGTCCAACTTTTAGTGAAATATTCTCATTGGATTGGGGACACATAGGCTGCCCACCAGTGGGTAATACCAGAGAGCCCCTGAATTGAGTGGGGTTAAGTGAAATCTTGCCCAAAGCACCCAGCACGTACGTGGGTGACACCTGGTCAAGTGTCTGACTCAAGTTGATGATTTTCCACTTGGAAACCAGGTGTGAATGAAGGAAAAGTCCACTTCAGAATCCTTGCATTAGATTCTTCTAGATTCTAGTCTCTTCTCTGCCTTTCCAGGGGCTTCTGTAGGTGACTTCTTTTGGTGCTTTAGGAAAGTGGGTTCTATCCATGGTGTGACACCCCAATTCAGGACTTCCTGAAGAAGTCAGGAAAACTTTCCTTACATGTAACTTGGAATTTCATCCTATTTCCTCTTGTCCATTCCTTGAGAGAAGATGGAAAATGTAACGCTTACCTACGATCACAGAGCCCTACGTACCATAAAGATTAGGCAGATCAGACTGTGTGAGGGGCTCTGTGTATGTGTGTGTGTGCGTGTTGTTTGTATTGACCTAAAAATCCAATAAATAAAACAAAATCAAGGCAAAATGAAAACTAAAAAGAGGACAAAAAACCCCTCAAACCTCTCCCATCACGGGTACCACACCCTTTGGATCCCTGGCCTATTTCTCCGTTCTTTATTCTTCCATTCATGTGGAAGGAATAATCAATACTTCCTGACTTAATGGACAGAATCCGAACACCTTTGTGAAAGTATCAGACCCAAGATTTATAAAAGTGAAAAATATAATCATTGACATAAAATGCTGATGGCCTTTGGAAGCCCTCCTGTTAATTTCTAATGGACACACATTGCAGCATTTTCAAACCTTTTCCTTACTCCAGAAGCTCCAGCTTTGCTGAACTCAAAGACATCTGACGTGGGCTTTTTCAAATTCTGACTCTGCTACAAAATGCCTGTTTCACTGACTATCTCCTCCTTCTTTGCTCAGAGACCGATGTGCCCTTTCACTTTTTTAAGGCAAAGACTTCTTACATCTTTAGGTGTAATAGGTCCTTACACCTTGATTCCTCCCGCTGACACCAAATAGGGCAGAATTTCCAAGCGCCATGGATCACCCAGCTTTATAGGCGAGCTAATCAGCATGGGAACATATTTGCTGCAGCAAAGCTCTCAGAAGAGCAGGAGAGAGTTTCCTGAGTGGGGATCAGAAAGAGTGAAGGTGGCCTGAGGGGGGCTCTGGGGCCTGGGGGAAATGTCCCAGCTCCCGTACCCACATCGGTCATTTGGGGTTGCAGAGAAGAGAAAATTTGGAGAGATAAGAGTTCCATTGCTGGGACTTCCCTGGTGGTCCAATGGTTAAGACTCCGCACTTCCACTGCAGGGGCGGGTGGGTTTGATCCCTGGTTGGAGAACTAAGTGGTGCGCGGCCAAATAAAAGAAAAAAAAGTTCCATCGTTGAAAGAAAGAAAGGCAATCCCCTTGTCCCTACAGAGTTAGATGCTGGATTTACCAAGATGTGGGATGGTGCCAGCTGACAGGTGGGAGGGGGATTCTGAAATGTCAGCGAGGCCTTGGCTGAAGTGGCTGGACAGGCGAGGGGGCAGCCTGGGTCAAGGGCGAGAGCAGACAGGAAGGAGTTGATCACTGGGGCGATGGGGCAGCCCAAACAGCTGGAGGCCAAGATTTAGGAAGCACAAGCCATGCACCTACGCCATCAGACATCGGTAGAAGCAGGGAGAGGCTCAAACTGCCAGCAGGTCCCCGTTTGTGGGCAGCAGGCATGGGGGAAAGATGGAAGGGAGAAAGCTAAGGTCACCACAAGGTCTCAAATGGACTCTCTCAGTCCTAGGGCACCAGGGTGAATTCTGTGTCTGTGCGTCCATCTCTTCCCAGACTCCCTTGCCCTGAGTAAAATCAGGGAGCCCCTTTCCTGAATCTGGAGAGAGCCGTGGGCATTAAAATACATGCACTGGTGACTTCGGTCATATCCGAGGTGGGAAAAAACTTACACCTAAACGCAAACACAGTGAGGTTGTGTTTGGGGCCAAAAAGCGCTGATGTATTTTAAAAACCCTCTCTGACATGAAAATCTGTAAAAGGGATTATGTAATCAAGCTCACAGAGGTCATTCAAGAAATCAAGGTGTGAATTACAAATAGTATTCCTTTTATTAAATAAGATCATGAATTTTAAAGCACAGTGCCTGGCCCTTATCAGTCACCCCCAAACGGTAAGTGTTGCTAATGCTATATGTACTAATCATTAAAGCAGACCCAGGAAGACTTCTATTTGGAAACCCCTAAGTCAGCGATTTATTTTATTAATAGATGAGCTTTTGAGTAATAAAAAGACAGTGCTTAGAGTTCAGACTATTTCCCAGGGCAGTCTGACCTTTCTGAAAGTACTAAGACTTGTGACATTCCTCTGAATAAAGCACCAATCCATGAACATAGGTTCCTGTGGAAAATGCAGGGCTCAGAAATACTCTTCCTACTCATTCCAAGAGTGTGTCTGACAGCAGGGCGACTAGAGCCCCCAAATACCTCTACTGTTTGAGCACTGAGTCTGTCAGCTAAAATCAAGATGGAACAGAGAAGCCAGGCCTGCTGTTTTCCCAAATTTTAATCCAATCCCTGTCCTCTTCACCCGTCCTCGTCCTCCCAATTCCCCCGCCTGCCCGGCTGCAGACGGGCATTGGCTGTGACCTTCCCGCCCTTGTGTGGTCCCTGTGGCTCCAACTCCAAACGCAGACATTGATGCTATGGTCCAAGTCCCAAGCAGGGCAACCAAGGCACCTTCTGGACCACAGCTGGGTTTTGTTTGCTATACACAGCACTTTTGAAAATTTCACCGTGAACGCCTTTACAAGGAGGCATTGCTGTCAAGTTTACCCCAATCCCACCACTCCCTATTTCCCTGACTTGAGTTAATTTTGTCACCTCGGGGTATAAGCCACCTCCCGTTTCCTGTAGCAGTTCAGCCCTCACAGGGCCCACGGACGACCAGGTCTGGATGTACCACTGCGTCCACCTAGACAAGCTCAGCCCCGTGTTGTCTGCCTGTCGTGGGCCTCGGCTGGTTCTAACACAGCAGCTCCCAAACCAAAGAACCAAATTCCATTCTGGTGTCTATGTGACAGCTTACCATCTGTACACATTGGCTTGTTGTAATGTTCAGAAAAAAAGAACCGAAAGAAACAGTAGACCTTTTAAAAAAGTCTCAACCTTAAATAAGTTAAAAATTGCCCGTAGCCTGCTATGCTGTTTTAAGGTAATTAAAAAAACTTCTGTACATCAGAGCTGTTAAAGCAGCACTGATCTGTACTGATTAGGGAATAAGGTAGCCTTTTTTTTTTTTTTTTTTTTAAGCTTTCCTTCATGAGTCCAAGAAAAATGACCTCTCACAGGTCTCTTTCTTGGCCCCAGGAGAACCTTACTTTCTTGGTGAAGTTCATGAGAGTTTTTTCATGAGCAGGGCTTTTGTTGGCCAGTGTATTCAGAGAGAATAAAATAGGATTCCTATGAAGTAGGTATAATTATCCTGATGTTTATAGGTGAGGAAACTCATTCAGAGAAGATACACCCCTTGCCCAAGGTCACACAATTAGCCACTGGACTTGACCCAGGTTTGCAGACAGCTCAAACAGGCTCCTTACATCACCCCACGCAGCCCCCACTAAATAAAGGCCAACACCACAAAGCCACTCAAGTCACAGACCTCAGGGTCACCGGAGGAAGGAAGGGTCAATACAGGTCTTGCAAAAATGCAGAGTTGGGGGAAAAAAATAGAAAAAAAAGAAACCTACTAAATCTTGGCAAAAAGGATCTTTTAACCTCGGTCCTGGATTTGTGGCTTCCATCCAAGGCCACTTCGGCCCAAGAGACTGTAAACACATTTTTCATACAGAGGATGTGGAAGGGCTGGCCTATCCCAGACCAGGCAGAGAGCAGAAGCAGAGGTACCTACCGCCCTCAAACTCCGTCTGGCAGTTCCCCGAGGTCTCATTCAGGCTCTCTTCCTCGTTGATGATGATGTTCTCAATGTCCTTCATCGTTAAGTGGTCCCGGAAGGCGTGATAGAGGATGTGCTTAAGCTCTTCCAGAGTTATCCTCTGCATGTCGAACTGTGGAGATAAAGAGGAGTGAGAGGGGGACTTCCCTGGTGGCACAGTGGTTAAGAATCCACCTGCCAGTGCAGGGGATATGGGTTCGAGCCCTGGTCCGGGAAGATCCCACATGCCGCGGAGCACCTAAGCCCGTAAGCCCCACAACTACTGAGCCTATGCTCTACAGCCCGTGAGCCACAACTACTAAGCCCGCGACCCACAACTACTGAGCCAGTGTGCCACAACTACTGAAGCCCACACGACTAGAGCCCGTGCTCCGCAACAAGAGAAGCCACTGCAATGAGAAGCCCGTGCACCGCAACGAAGAGTAGACCCCACTCGCTGCAACTAGAGAAAACCTGAGCACAGCAATGAAGACCCAACGCAGCCAAAAATCAATCAATCAATTTTCAAAAAAAAGAGAGGAGTGAGAGGGTCTGGGGCACTTGGGGGTGAGAACTCGGCTTGGGGCATGACCAGCAAGCCCTAAGCCTTCCTACAGAGATTTGTCCCAGCTTTTCAAGACATCAGATGAGCAGTTTTCTGCCACGCTTAGCTCCAAGCACACTTGTGAACTTGCAGGAACTTCTCGGGAATTCAAGGAATGCGATTACCCCCGCAGTAGAGAATCTTGGAGAAAAAGATGCCACCTGCTAGTTTGGTTTCCTACTCATCCAGCCATCTGCTGTCACCCCTCCACACCTCATGTACTTTGGAGTGTGTCACACTTCAGACAATGCATATGTCTCTAGAAAGTTTTAAATCTTCCAAGAAGCCAGCATGTATCTTGCTCTAACAAGATAAAATGCACGTTCCAAAGCCATGTTTATGAGGAAGAACAGGTGAAAAAAGGTGTAGCGTTTCCACTTGTGTTCTTCTGCTACAAGGGAGAAAATTTACTTTTCCACTCCATTTCTATCAGATTTGGTCATGTCACTTTCTTGGCCAATGAAATGTGAGTAGAACTAACATAGGTCACATCGATTAAAATCTTTAAGAGCCATTGCGTGGTTCTAGCCTGTGTCCTTTTCCTTCTGTCCTACAAAGAGGCTCTTTCATCTGTTGGGGTCCCAGAATGAGGATAAAGTGGGGAAGATAGCCCAGAAATGAAAAGTAAATGGGAGTAACAAATGCCCTTCGTTGTAGCCATAGAGATTTGGTATAACTTGGTTTACAATATAGAAATTAGTACATAGAAATGAAAAGCTACCATAACAAAAATTCTAAAAGATGATGTATGGATTGCAGGGCCAGGAAAATAAGAAAACTGTTATTGGAGGCTGGAAAGATAACAACCCATGTTATGCAGTAGCAAAACATTTGGTAAAATTGTTGCCTGTGATAACTCAGAGGGCAGATACACATTGAATGGGTTTGTGGCTTTAGGTAAAAAGTTTGGGACTCAGCAGGCTCTGGTTGCAATTGGTTGCTCATCTACAAGAAAGAGATGAGCTCAGAGTGAACTAAATCAGACAGAGAAAGACAAATACTGTATGATCTCACTTACGTGCGTAATCCACAAACCAACGAACCAACCCGTATTCATGGATCCAGAGAACAGATGGGTAGTTTCCAGAGGCAGGGGGGTGGGGAGTGGGTGAAATGGGTGAAGGGGGTCAAAAGGTACAAACTTCCAGTTATAAAATAAGTCCTGCAGATGTAATATCCAGCATGGCGGCTACAGTTAATAACGTTGTATTGTGTATTTGAAAGTTGCTAAGAGAATAGATCTTAAAAGTTCTCCTCACACACAAAAAATGTGTAACTATGTGTGGTGATGGATGTTAACTAGACCTCTTGTGGTGAGCATTTCACAGTATACACAAATTTCAAATCATTATCTTATATATAGGAAACTGATATAATGTTATATGTTAATTATACTCAATTTGAAAAAAAGGTGATGAACTCAGGAAATAATTGATTGTTTTGCAAGCCAGGAATAGAGACAACCCCCAAACTTCTGGTCTTGCAGGGTTGAAAGAAGCAATTGTTTCTCATCTCCTACTAGGAAGAGATAAAATTGAGAAATGCTATAAATAACAATCCAAGCCTATTAAATCAAAATGTCCCTTGTTAAAATCTCTGAATATGTTAGGTGGCTCTCCCAGAAAGCTGGTCATTAAGTTTAGAGAGAGGTATGTCTCAAAAATAATTGTGGATATTAGCAGAAACCAACTGGAGTTAAATAGATTTTTCAAAATGACTAACTTTTTGAGAGAGCCAAGAGCAAACAGCCTGGACTAAAAGACTATGACTGCTCAAAACTCAAAATCATCTTTGGGCTCCCAACCTTCTATGGGCACAAGCCACTTTGAGGATAAGTTACAGAGGCCCCAAGAAGGGTACATTTTCCAATACCCTTGATAGGGATAGAGTAGGATAATTAAATAGTCAGCTTAGAAATCTCACTAGGGGATTAAGACAGAAAAGGAATTTTAAGGGAGTTTGGGAGACTGTTGTAAGCTAATAACCACTCAAGAAAAGAATCCAGTAACCTAGCAACAATCTACTCTACCTTGAAAGAAGACCAGGTGCATCCAAGTGCCAGACACACTCAAGCCACAAACCCTGATATTTAAAACACAAGACAATAGATACGGGATGTGAATCCTGTTACATGAACTCAGAGAGTTAAGAGTCCTTGAAGAGTAGCATTTCTGCATGTGGCCAAGACAGAAATATAGGTGAAAGGGGAAAGAAACTAGGTGAAAGGGGACATTATACCAAAACCTGAGATAAATTACCATATTTTAGTATAAGTTACCACCCTTTTGCTAATATATATATGATCTAAATAGCACCATGACATCTGCCCAAGAATGAGGAAGAGGTGGTCTTCTCTCCTCCCCACTTTTTATTTGATTATAAAAATGTAGCCCGCTTTGTTCTCAGGGCTGTGTTCCCTTGCCAGCCCACCTGTATCTCTCACAAGTGTCCTGTGCTAATAAACTCACTCTTGGCTTGTCGCTTTGCCTCACACTGAGTTCTTTCTGTGATGAGGCAAAAGAACCTGAGCTTCAGTAAGTCCTGACACCAGGTGAGTGGTTTTCATCAAAAGACAGCCATCATCAAAAAATCTACAAACAATAAATGCTGGAGAGGGTGTGGAGAAAAGGGAACTCTCTTGCACTGTTGGTAGGAATGTAAATTGATACAGTCACTATGGAGAACAGTATGGAGGTTCCTGGAAAAACTAAAAATAGAACTACCGTATGACCCAGCAATCCCACTACTGGGCATATACCCTGAGAAAACCATAATTCAAAAAGAGTCATGTACCCCAATGTTCACTGCAGCACTATTTACAATAGCCAGGACATGGAAGCAACCTAAGTGTCCATCGACAGATGAATGGATAAAGAAGATGTGGCACATGTATACGACGGAATATTACCCAGCCATAAAAAGAAACAAAATTGAGTTACTTGTAGTGAGATGGATGGACTAGAGTCTGTCATACAGAGTGAAGTTAGTCAGAAAGAGAAAAACAAATACCGTATGCTAACACATATATATAATCAAAAAAAAAAAAAAAGGTCATGAAGAACCTAGGGGCAAGTGTATATGGACATATATACACTACCAAATGTAAAATTGCTAGCTAGGGGGAAGCAGCCACATAGCACAGGGAGATCAGCTCAGTGCTTTGTGACCACCTAGAGGGGTGGGATAGGGAGGGTGGGAGGGAGATGCAAGAGGGAGGAGATATGGGAACATATGTGTATGTATAACTGAGTCACTTTGTTATAAAGCAGAAACTAACACACCATTGTAAAGCAATTATACCCCAATAAAAATGTTAAAGAAAAAAAAAAAAAAGACAGTGGGTTCTAGACCCCTTCTAGTCAGGGATCGTGGATTCAAGTCCCAGCCCGTGGGTTTGAGTCCCAGTCTGAGCTTTGGCTAGGTTCGAGTCCCATCTGAGAAGGAGTGCAGTTTCACCTTCATCAGGTGAGTACAAAGAGAACAAATGCAAAAGGATGGATCTCCCAGATGGTGATGAAATCATGCAACGACATCAAGCACCATTTCCAGGAAACACAACTAGGGTCTAATTAGGGAACATACCTCAACTCAAGGTCTGTTCAACAGGATTTCAGAATTGCTCCGAGACTTGGACTGCTATGCGTGTTCCATTGCTTGCTTTCTGGATGGGAATATTTTTGGTGGTTAACCTGACCCCGTTCCACTACTAAAAATTGAGTGTGTGTTGGGGGATGGGGTGGATTCAGTTGGGTAATTTGACTTTGCAGTTCATATGTCTCCAGATCATGAGAAGTCACACCCAGATTTGATGTACATCTTGAGATTCTACATCTTGTCTTCTGTTGTCATTGGATGGGACTTTTGAGTGTCTCCCTTGGGGAGGGGATGAGTATATTTTGTGGCTAAAGGGAGGGAAATAAATATTTATGAACAAGAGTGTGGGCTGTAATTGGTTATATTATTTCCAATGATTTCTTTCCCCTTCCTGTGAGAGGATTATATCTCCCTGCCCATTAGCATCAGGCTTTGGCCAAGTGAACGAGGGAGAAATTGATCTATATGAAAGTGATGGAATTCCAAGGAGAAGTCTCAAAGTTATCCATGTGTTCTGCCATTTCTCTTTTTCTTCTGCCACAAAAACACGCTAAATATGGGCCATTCCTTCATCCTGGGTCCCAGAGTGAATGCAACATGGAGCTAATCCACGAAGGGCATGTAATTTGAGTGAGAAGTAAACCCTGGTTATTAGCCACTAAGACTTTGGGATTTCTGTAGTATAACTCACCCAAGACTGAATACAGAAATCAATGTTTTAAGTTAGTATGGATCATGATGAAAGGAAGTTTGAGACATTTTTTCCCCCTGCTTCCTTTGTAAAGCAATTCCTACCTGGCTTTCAATATGCCCCTTGTTCTGACAAATTAAATTGGGTTACTGGAACTTGCTGGAAACCTAAATGACTCAAGTTCAAAGACATTTATATGAGTAAGAATAATTGAAGGGGGAGTGTGTGTGTGTAAAGTGGACTT